TGATTCAAATCAGGAAGAAAAATAAGAACGTAAAATACATATTGTCAGAAGTGGGATTCGAACCCACGCCTCCAGGGGAGACTGCGACCTGAACGCAGCGCCTTAGACCGCTCGGCCATCCTGACACACGACAAAATGGCTTTTCTAATTTCCTCTAATTTTATCATACACTGACGGTGCAGGATGTCAGGTGATAATAAAGTGTCTATTAATTGTTTCAGATAAAACTCTCTCTCTGAATCCTATTGCAAAGCGGGAAAAATAAAACAGTACCCGACAGCTCTTTCCTCTTTCCTACTTACTTCCTCACTATCCAAACTAAACCTTAAGGCTCCATTTTCCCTGGCAACTCTTCGAGGTTGAGGGGTCAAGCTAAGTCAAGCTAGATCCTGTGTCGACCCGTCTCCCTCAGATCCTCCGCACCAATCGCCATTGCTGAATCCGACACCCGGCAGATCCAGTGCGGAGTCTCGAGGAGCTGCGGACCTGGGAGCGCCGGGACGTAAGGAGAGCGAGTGTGAGAGAAACGGCGGAGGAAAATCCCCTGGTGGTGCTTAACTCCGGCTTTCTCTCTGGCCTGTAAGCCAGCCCCGCCCTCTGGCTCCGGGAGTCAACGGCTTCCGCGTTCACAGGCCCCCGCCATTTGCGGGCGGGGCCGACTCAAAGGAATCGTTCTCATCGAGTGAGGGCTTTGCGTGCTTATCTCTATCGTAAACAGAAGACACTAACTGAAACTGCCGGGAGAGGCACGCGCTTTGCTTCTCTCATATATAGATTTTTAAAGTGGTCCTTCGGCAGCGTTGGTGGTATAGTGGTGAGCATAGCTGCCTTCCAAGCAGTTGACCCGGGTTCGATTCCCGGCCAACGCAATACTCATTTTCTTCTACGGGAAGCCTTTCAGAGAGGGAGCTGCAGCGTGCGCTGTACTCGTTTTAGGCCTCAACAAACTGCAGCAATTCCTCACTGTCTGTACTCGCTTTCTATCTTTCCCCTGGCCTCTTTGTAAACCTAGGGTTTTTTTTTTTTTTTTTTTTTTTTTTTTTTTTTTTTTTTTTTTTTTTTTTTTTTGACGGGATTAGATTCTGATGCTTCTTTCCTCCTTTCCTTCCTTTGTAAACTTTCAACTCTTGAGGAATCTTTGGGATCATTTGAATCCTGGGATGAGTCTTAGCCTCAGAAAGGAGCTCTTGAAGTGTCTTTACCCGCGGGGTTCACACGGTAGCCACGAACTATTGAGCACTTTACTTGGCTAGTTTCTCTAAGAAACTGCATTTTCAAATTTAGTTTTAATAAATCAATTGAAAAAAATAAAATTAATAAATAAGTGGAACATTTTAAATGGGTACTTAATAATTCAACGATTGGAGAAGGTTTCAGAGCATTTGGAACAACTTACCTATTGAAACTACTTTTTCAATTGCAAATTTTATGAAATCTAAAAACAGATTTTTTTTTCCGATGAGAATTTCCTTTCCTAGTTGAAATGTGCTGTCTTTAAGTGTAAAATAAATACATAGCAATTTTGAAGACTAGGTAAGAAAAAAATATAACCAATTCATATTTTTATATTGATTACACGTAATATTTTGCATATATTGGGTTAAAGAATAAGATTTGTTATTAAAATTGTCACCTCTTTATTTTTACTTTTTAATATGACTATTAGAAAATTAAAAATTACATGTGGGACTCAAATTATGTTTCTATTGCAGTGTGTGAGTCAGGAGAACAAAAGCATAACTTTGCTAACAGCCAGCAACTTTTGCTCAAAGTATGCTGGTAGCTTAGAAATACCTTTTTCTAAAAGAAAACTTTCAGAAATTTGTTTCCAGCTGTCCTCGTTAGTATAGTGGTGAGTATCCCCGCCTGTCACGCGGGAGACCGGGGTTCGATTCCCCGACGGGGAGACTGAAAGACTTTTTTTTCTTCTGTCTCTTCCAGTCAAGTAAAAAAAAAAAAAAAAAAAATAGTCACCAGTGCTTAAAAATCCAATTAAAATCATTAACATATTAAAAAGAAACACCAACTCCAGTCCCAATTAGCTACAATCCCTTTTTAATAAATTCCAGTCTTGATTTTAAACCTAGTTAGCTCCTAAAACTTCTTTTTCTTAGATGGCTTGTGTTAATGTTTAGGCCTTACATACTCAATGCTGTCACCCAAATGTTTCCTCTCGCCTAAAGGCTATCAAGCTCCAAATGGTAATGCAATAAAACCACGCATAAATACGCCTTTCTTCCAAAAACCCTTCAACCTGCCCCCCCGCAAAACGTTAGCTGCTGTTCCCCACACGACAAAAAATAGTCAAAAAAATCAACACCCAATCTCCCTAACAGCAGTTAGTGTCCCCACTCCTAAGGGGGACTGAAAGGAGTTAGTTAGCAAGGAAAGGGTCTCTGGAGAGCCTCCCTCCAGCCCATGGATCAGTGCCGCCTTCTCACACAACAAAAAGGCAGCCTGGGAAAAAGTCAAGCTTCAAATAAGGGAACAAAGCCTGGCACAGAAATTCCTTTGTCCTTTGTATAGTCCTCCGGCTCTCAGGAAAAAGCTTCTTTTTTCCTAGGCAGAGGCACAGTAAGCTCCAGTGGGTTCCAGTAAGCACTTTCCTTTCCTTTTTTAAAACTGTTAAGTCCACCCTCTATAAATCATCACTCAGTCCCTCACTGGTCCTGGCCTAAGGTCCAGGCCAAGCTTTCACTTCAGCTCTTAATAGGTCTAGGGCCAAGCCCAGTAGCCACTATGAATCATCACTTCAGCCCCTAATTAGTTCCCGGCCAAGGTCCTAGGCCAAGGCCAGGAGGCAAGCTTTCTCAGTAGTCTGGGGCCAAGGTCCCAGGCCAAGCTAAATCAGACATTCTTCAAAGCAGCCCACAAACTAAGCACATTCTTTCCCCTTTCCAGACAACCTCTAAAATGGCCTCATAGTAAGCAACTCATTCGGGCCTCCCTCTCTGCTGGCAAAAAGCTCAGACGTACTACAGTGAGAATTTGATTTGCAACTGAGTTACAAGGGAGAGAGGCAGGGATTCAACTGCCTGGAAATCAAACTCCTTTGATTATTTCCCAAAAAACTGATAGTCATTAGAGGACTTACAGTGTCAATAAGTTGAAACTTTTTCCTAACATCCTGTTTATGATACTGAGTTGTTTGTCATTGGATGAACTGACAGCAATTGTATTCACAAATTTTCTAACTTTTAAAATATTGTCTGAAGGTTTCTGTATCTGTTATCTTCTATTATACGAAAGTCATTTATTGGAATGACATTTATAATTAGATTGATCCTAACCATTCAGGCTGGATGAGGCAACACAGTGTGATGATTAAGTCCTTGGGCTCTGTTGTGCTTCCTGTGGTTGAAACTTGGCTCTCTTTATTTCAATTTCCTCCTCGGTAAAAGAGGATAACGATGATAATTTTAATTTTCAAATGGATTAATATATAAACATATATTACAAACATAGAAACATTGCCAGGATGGTCCATGGCAATGAGCAACCATTAATTACTCTTTTTATTGCTAAAATGAATGTTGTTAATGCCTATAGTGGGATATGTTTGAGATTTTAAAAAGTCTTATTCCATCAAATGGAGGTGAAATTCAACAGGGATGGGAAGAAGGGACATCTGCACCTCAGCCACCATTTAGCTCCAAACCTCCCTTATGCTCTCATCTGCCCCACAGCCCCCATCCTGTAACAAGAGGACCATCTGTACCAGTGGTGGCCACAGCATCTAGCTTATGCCTTCAGTGTAACCTATTACTGCCTGCCTGTTCTCCCTAATATTCCCTGACTCTTAGTGCTGAGGTCTCATGGAGGCTGCAGTCCCCAAAGCAGGAAGAACCAAAGGGTAGTACTGACTGGTAGAGGCTAGCCACAGCCGTGTGGGGCCAGATTGACCCTGGGCAATCGCTAAGTAGATCAGGTCTCAGGCTTTCCTGTTTTGGGAGACATATAGGGACAGGGACCTATAACCAACACCAGCCATAGCTGGATTCAGTTAGCGCTTCAGGTTGGGATGCACTGAGAGGCTTTTCTGGAAGTGGCCACCTACAGTTCCCCGTGGCCAGCCAATGTATGGAGGCTGGATTTTGGGGATGTCTAGGGAAAGCCAAAAGCAAAACCCAGAAGTTAATTATTTTTGTGGAGGAATTAACAGATATAGCACTGACCAATCAGAATAGCCACTGGCTATACATTTCCCCATTATAACCGTATTCACTGCATTCCACAATTTTTTTTTTTAATTTCCAAATATATGAAGTATTTTAAAAGTTATTTTTGTCATTGATTTTGGAGTTAAATTCCTTATGTTCAGAAAATGTTCTTCATGTAGGACTGCTCCATAATGTATATCGACACTTATTGGCCTTGGCCAGGCATGGTGGCTCAAGTCTATAATCCCAGCACTTTGGGAGGCTGAGATGGGTGGATCTGTACCAAAAATACAAAAATAAGCTGTGTGTGGTGGCACGCACCTCTAGCCCCAGCTACACAGGAGGCTCAGGTGGGAGAATCACTTGAACCCTGGAGATGGAGGTTGCAGTGAGCCAAGATGGCACCACACACTCCAGCCTGGGTGACAGAGACTCTGTCCACTCCCACTCCAAAAAAAATTTCTGATTTATTTGAATTGATTTCATCACCCCGTTTTGTACTTTTGACCTCAATTATTCTATTATCCTTTAAAAATTCTTCTTTTTTTCTTTCCTGCTTTTGGATTGCTGTCACATACATGTAAAATGAAGTATAGAAAACATATGTGTATTCACAATCAACTGAAAACTAATAACTTTTTATTTCTGCTGTCAGTCCAACAATGGAGATAAAGCACAGAGTGGTGGTTCTAAACTTGAACTTCACAGATGAACAAAATTTCCCCATAATGTTGGTTGCTGAGTGGGCAAGGTGGCTCAAGCCTGTAATCTCAGCTACTTGGGAAGCTGAGGCAGGAAGATTGCTTGAGCTCGGGAGTTTCAGGCTGCAGTGAGCTATGATCATGCCACCACACTCCACCCTAGTTAACAGAGCAAGATTCTGTCTCTAATAACATCAAAAAAGCTGGTTACTAGTATAGGGTTGCCAACCTTTCATTTTGCCAAGTTAGGAAATTCATAAAACAAATAGCCGTGAAAACTATCATCTGTCCTTATTATAATTTTAAAAAAGAAAGGACATTTAAAAACAACTTTTTTTGGCAAATGAAAACTTATTACTATCGGGTTTTCACCATTAAAACTGACGTTCTTGGTCTTTCCTCCTTGCTTTTGATAGAGCCAAAAGAGAGACACTGGTTACTTGAACAGCTTTAAGGTGGACTCCAGGAATATCACCAACAGCAGGATCTTTCCCACCAAATCCAGCAATCAGAACTTCATAGTTTTTTTCAATAAAGTTCAAGCCACCATCATCAGGTACAAAGGCTGTGATTTCCTTGCTGTTCTTGATCAGCTGGACCCTGGCACACTTCCCAGTGGCAGAGTTGGGCTATTAGGCTCCAACCCCTACTTTTTCCAGCCCAGTTCCCTTTGGATGAGAATCATCTCCAAAAGGGCTGGTCTTCAGGGCTGTGCCCAAATGGGCTTTCTTGTACCTTTTACCATGCCACTTCTGATCCAGTCGGTAACTATTGAGCTTCCAGGTGGTAGACATCCCACAACATTTGCCTCTATTGCCGACTCCACAGGTCTGAACAAAAGAGCAAAAACAAAAATTTAAACTATAGAAGAAATGACGCTAGGCCTGGCGTGGTGGCTCATGTCTGTAATCCAAGCATTTTGGGAGGCCAAGGTGGGTGGATCACCTGAGGTCAGGAGTTTGAGACCAGCCCCGCCAACACAGTGAAACCCTGTCTCTACTAAAAATACAAAAATTACCCAGGCGTGGTAGTGGGCACCTGTAATCCCAGCTACTTGGGAGGCTGAAGCAGGAGAATCACTTGAACCCAGGAGGCGGATGTTGCAGTGAGCCAAGATCACACCGCTGGACTCCAGCCTGGGTGACAGAGCGAGACTCCATCTCAAAAATAAATAAATACATAAATAAAAGACCCTAAAGGTCATTTGGCAAATTTATTTATTTATTTACTTATACATACAATACACATATACATATTTTACATAAAATATAAAATATATGTACACATAAACATATGCACATATAATTTCTGCATATGCACATCTATGTTTGTGTATCTTTTCATTTCACTGAACATCATTGAAAACTTCCACCTCCATCTGAACTGGAGTCCACTGATGAGAGAGGATGGCAGTGCAGAAAGAAAAACGGTTCTGTGCGGAGGATAAGAGGGGGCCTAGGTCTTGGGCAATACAGAAAATGGCTTTTTAGACCCAGCACTGACCAGGTGCCCTAGGTCGATGGTGGTGGAATTAGGGGGCTCTGTCCTCAGATATGTGGATCTGGATATGTCGGCATGAAAGTCCTTAAGTTGTAGGCAATTTTTAAAAAATATTTTTTATTTTTTATTTTCAAGCTGAACACCATTAACTTCAATATTACAGGCTTTTTAAGCTCCGTGTTTTGTCTGCATGTCTAATATGCCGGTAGAAACCTTTCAAAACAGCGAGGATTGAAGACTAATTTTGTAATACCAAACTTCCTTACTTAGATATCACATTCTGCCGGATGTGATTGGACACATCAGAAAATATTTTTAATGTTCACGATAATAAGCTTATTATGAGTCAGCACTAAACGTGTGCACAGGCATACAAATATTGTCTACATAGGCAAAAAAAAAAAAAAAAAAAGCTCAAAGTCGCTCTTCTCTGACCAAACCCACTGAACCCCGAACCCACAGATAGCATCCATTTTGGATTCCCCAAAGACCCTTTGTTCCTGCATCCTCTTCTGCTCTCCTTTTCTCAGCCTCTTCTGGTGGAAGCTCCAGATCCACGCAAGTGCTAGCGCAGAAAAAAGACCTGCCTCGCTCAGAGCTATGAGCGGCACCCTGGAGCACAGAAAGCTGATTGTCTTACAGATTTCAACAACAGAAGACGTAGAGCACTGAGCATTTTCTCTTCAGTGAAGTGACTTGGCAGCAAAACTTCTCGACGCCCGTCTCTGTGGCGCAATCGGTTAGCGCGTTCGGCTGTTAACCGAAAGGTTGGTGGTTCGATCCCACCCAGGGACGGAGGTGACGTTTTTGTGAACCTCGGGCTTTTGAAACCTTGTCTTAGAAACCACTTTCGATGCCAAGTGCTAACGGCGGGGAGCCCTTAGCCGACAGCCGACCCCCGCGATGGGTGGTTCCCAGTGTCCTCTTCCGCCTTAGTGCAGCAGGGGTGGTTTTGACGTGTTTGGTTTTTCCGACTAGGGGTGCAATTAGAACTTTTAGCTGCTTAGCTGCTGCAATTATGTTTTAAAACTGACAAAATTTACCGACCAAAGGAAGAAAGTACTAAAAATCTCAAAATGAATTGTTTATCTTTCCACCAAACCTGTGCCTGCCTTGCCTTCCTATTTCCTAACTCAGAAAACGGGCACTGTGTGTGAAACCTGGTCCTTAGTCATGCGGCGTCCTACTGGCTGACAATTCTTGGAGAGTAAACCTCCTAAATACCTTGTTGATTAGGCACCTTCCTCTCCAGCCTCACCGCCGGTTACTTCCTCATTGCTCCCTTTGGGCTACTGCATCTTACCTTGCCCCTAGACGGCTTCCTGTTTTCAACTCTCCCGACCCGTCCATCCTTCAAGCAGTTGCCAGAGAATCCTTCTAAAATACTATACGGTACAAACCTGATCTAATTAAACTCCCTCAAGGTGTTGCACGGTCTGATACAATATCCTTAGTTTGGAAGGCAATGATCTTTATGATCTGGCCCAGAAAACCCTTTCTCATCCTCACCCCCACCGACGCTGTAAACAACAGAACGGAACTGCTTTCTTGAACTCACACTCTGGTGTTCGAATCTTTGCCCATGGACCTTGGCCCTTTCTCTTCTTTTTTGCCTGGCAAACTCCTACTCATCCTTCATGACCACACCCCCCCAAATCAAGCCTCTTTTCTGCAGCTCTTTCTTCTGTTGTACTGGACCGAGCGTAGAAAGTTAGCACCAAGACAAAAGTATGCCAGATTGCAGGGTCATTTATTATGCCGGCGACCACAGAGGACTCACGTCTCTCCAACCTGTGGCGTCGAAAGGAGGGTGCCAAGACTTTTTATACCCGAAAAACCACCTTGGGGGTGGGGGTGAGGAGCGGGGATGGGGATGAAAAAGCTTCAGACATTCCGAGGGCTAGGGGATTCTGTAAATTACCTCCTGGGTAAAGATGAGGGTGGGGGTCTCCGGACATTCCAAGGGCCAGGGGACTTTTGTCATTCCACTTGTTACTTAAGTGGTTTACAGAAGTCAAGATAAACGTTTGTTTACACATTGTCTGAGTGGTGATAGAAGTCACAGATCTTAGTTACTTATTACAAGTCACAGGAGCCAGGATGGAATTAGCTTGGGCTGCTTATTTTGGTTATTACCGGTAAGCAAAGGCTAGCAATTCTGGCAGTTACTGATAAGAAAAGGTAAGCAGCTTTACATAGTTTGCAGAACAAACTAGCAGTCCTATCTACAGAAGCCAAGGCCAGCAGTTATTGTGAGGAGAATGGGGCAGCCCGTTGCAACTTATTTTAAAAACAGTTTTGCATTTTATAAAATGGCGTTGCTCAGGTTCTGGCTCTAGGTCAGCATAATATCACACTTCACTCTCGCCCTGTTTGTTTTTCTCATTAGAAATAAAGCTTCCCCAGGGAACGACCCTATGTTGTTCACCTGATGTCTTCAGCACCTGAACTCAAGCTTGCACATTGTCGGTAGTAAATAAATGTGAGTTGAATGTCCAGGGTTTCCAAATGCACTTGTCTTGTGTCTAATCTTATCTAATATTTAATTTATGTCTCTACTCTAGCTTGAATCGTCTGGTATATAGCTCATAATTCATACAATCAGGCTGACCCTCTACCTCTGCCAAGGCCTCTACCTACTACGTAGCTGTGCCTTCTCCTATCTGCCCTAATGCTCTAAAACTCCCTAATTCCTATTCACCCTCCTATCCCATACTTCCCGTAAGAAGCCCCCATCACCCGATTGTCTCAGCAAGCTGGCTAATTCATATGAGTTGTGGTGAGATGGTTGCTGGGATGCGGGGGTGTTTTTCACCAATCCAAACCAATCTCTGTTACAGTCTTGGACAAAGGGAAGAAGAAAGGATTTTAGGCCAGGTGTGGTGGCTCACGCCTATAATCCCAGCACTTTGGGAGGCTGAGGCGGGTGGATCACGAGGTCAAGAGATCGAGACCATCCTGGTCAACAAGGTGAAACCTCGTCTTTACTAAAAATACAAAAATTAGCTAGGCATGATGGCGTGTGCCTGTAGTCCCAGCTACTTGGGAGGCTGAGGCAGGAGAATTGCTTGAACCCAGGAGGCGGAGGTTGCGGTGAGCCGAGATCGTGCCATTGCACTCCAGCCTGGCGCCTGGCAACCAAGCAAGACTCTGTCTCAATTTTTTCAAAAAAGAAAAAGAAAGGATTTTATCATTTATAGTTTATTACCATGGTTTTCCTGTCTTCTATCTAAGAGTAGCATGCAAGATCTTGTAATATGCTTTATTCTAACAGAGAAATGTTGCGCTTAAAACTTCCAAAACAGGAAGAGACGGCTAAAGCTTTCTTTCATAAGCAGCCATTGCCATCTCCATCCCCACCTCATTGGAACTGACATGATGAAGGATTTGTAAGTTTCGTAATTTAGCTCAGTGAAGCTCAGTAGTACATTTAGCATTGGTTATCCAACATTTGTTTAATAAATGAAATGAACAAAGCTACACCGCAATTATGTATTGAAGCAGAAAGGGTGGTTTTACAGTTCCCGCCCTTACCCTCTAATTCTTATTACCCTGGCCAAAAAAAGCATTTTCACCTCCTGCGCTTTCCTTCCTGTGTGCTTGTGGGTGGCTCTTTCTTCTCCGGCTTTCTCACTCTGACGCTGAGATCGTTCTGTTCACTTAGCTTAACTTGGGACAGTGACACAAGGTTTGTTCTGTACTTTCTTTTCCACCCCACCCCAGTCCAATCCTCAGTCTCCTTCCTAGGACAATTTTCTGCTCCTAGCATTAAGAGGGCTTATCATTATAACTTACCGATGGTTCAGTTCTGATAGATTCCCCTGGAAGACTCAATTCTACCTCACCCTCATGATTTCCCGTTAATTCCACCACGGCTAATGTTCTAGGAAGACAGCCTTATCTATCTCTGGGTACATGGGGACACCTCCCTTAGTCTATCCTGGACTACCCTGCTCTTTCTCAGCCATCCTTTCTTTGGTCCCACTGAATTCCCTGGATCCCCAGCAGCTACCACACTGTGTATGGCCCTGCCTCAACCGTTAATTCTGCCTATTCATTTATTTAGGAATAATTATTTTTCTTTTCTTCCCCCATAAACTGGGTAATTTATAATAGGAACAGTTTTTATATGTTTCAACATTACCGTCCGTAGCCTGTATCGTTGCTTTGCTGTGAGGGAATGGTTGGGACAGAAAAGGTGTGTAGCTCTGAAACTTCAATTCCTAGGGATGCAGCTACTCACTGGGGCTTCCCTGCTGGCACTTGAAGATCATGGGCCTTTCCCTTCCACTGGAGACCAAGGAAGAGTCGAAAGTTGGGTAAGGGACTTGGGCTCTGAGTTCTATGTTTCCTGCTACTCGAGGAGAGGCCTAATGAGGATGATGGGGTTGCAAATCCAGAGAAAGTTTCGGAGACACTGTTGCCACTGCCCTTATGACCCCCATGGGATGGGAGTCATTTGTCTTGAGGGTCCTTGCTCCATTTAAATTTATGGTCCTTACAGTCCCTTGTTGAGCTTCGAATGTTTCTCTTCACAGAGAAATACAGTCCTGTGTCCACTGCAAAAAGGAGTACCATCACTAAGCAGAAAGAGACTTGGTACCCAGGTAGAGAGACTGGTGATGTGGATGACACTGTCAAATCTATTAGGAAAAGTGGAGAGAGGAAAAAAAGACAGTCACTAAGGCAGATATTTGGACAAACAATGAGGTCACCAGCAGAGAGTCTTTGACAACTGCCAAGAGACAGGTGGTAGGAATGGCGGGGAAGTCTGGGGGAAAGCATTGCTTCCTCCCGTTAGCTCCTGATCTTAGTGCTGTCTGAGCAGAGTACACCTCACCAAACATTTAGCAAAGGCTTCTGCTTGTTTGACAGAGATGTGACAGAGAGCCTTAGCAAGTTAGGTTGTAATCTGGGTTTTGTGCAACAGTTAAGAAATTGTCAGACAATGCTGTTGTCTAGAAACTGGGACAAATTTGTTGATTTTGCATTTCCATTTTTTAAACTCTTGATTTTGATGTGTTTTCAAACTTAAAAAAATGACCAGAGGCCGGGCGTGGTGGCTCATGCCTATAATCCCAGCACTTTGGGAGGCCGAGGAGGGCAGATCACCAGGTCAGGAGATTGAGACCATCCTGGCCAACATGGTGAAATTCCGTCTCTACTAAAAATGCAAAAATTAGCTGGGCGTGGTGGCACGCTCCTGTAGTCAGAAGGCTGAGGCAGGAGAATTGCTTGAACCCGAGAGGCAGGAAACTGCAGTGAGCCGAGATCATGCCACTGCACTCCAGCCTGGCGCCTGGCGACGGAACAAGACTCTGTCTCAAAAAAAAAAAATGACCAGAATAGTATAAAGAACTCTCATATATCCTCAATATGGAGATCCACTCATCATTTACATGTTACCCCATTTGCTTCATTCTCTCTCTCTTTCCCCAACCACTTGGGAGTATTTACTTTCAGTTTAAAGTGTAATGAAATTATTTTTGTACAAATTATGACATTGTAATGTCAAAATCTCAAAAGGTGTTTTGTTGCCTTTCTACATGCAAACCGTTTACAGTTTATGTCTCGGACTAGCTACAGATAGAAGTTGTGTGAAACTGGCAAGTCCAGGCACACCACACCAGAGCTCTGATTTTGGAGGCTGGTGCTATAGGACCTAGAGAGGTTTTGTGGATGACTTAATGAGATCATAGGATATGAGTGCTTGTTCAAATATTTTGCTTAATGGTTAAATATACAGGCTTTGAGGCCGGGCGCGGTAGCTCACGCCTGTAATCCCAGCACTTTGGGAGGCCGAGGCGGGTGGATCACGAGGTCAAGAGATCGAGACCATCCTGGTCAACACGGTGAAACCCCGTCTCTACTAAAGCTACAAAAAATTAGCTGGGCATGGTGGCGCGTGCCTGTAATCCCAGCTACTCAGGAGGCTGAGGCAGGAGAATTGCCTGAACCCAGGAGGCGGAGGTTGCGGTGAGCCGAGATCGCGCCATTGCACTCCAGCCTGGGCAACAAGAGCGAAACTCCGTCTCAAAAAAAAAAAAGAAAAAAAAAAAAATATACAGGCTTTGAAGTGTTTGATGTGACCTTAGGGACAACTTATCTATTTCTTTTTGCTCCTCAGTTACTTGACCTGTAAAATGAAATCAATATTACCTATCTCATGTTGTGAAGGTCCTCTACGATAGTCAAACCAGGTGCATGTAAAGAATTGTTTAGTGGCCGGGCGGGTGGCTCACGCCTGTAATCCCAGCACTTTGGGAGGTCAAGGCAGGCGGATCCAGAGGTCAGGAGTTTGAGACCAGCCTGGCAAACATGGTGAACGCTGTCTGTACTAAAAATACAAAAATTAGCCAGGAGTGGCGGTAATCCCAGCTGCTCGGGAGGCTGAGGCAGGAGACTCACTTGAACCTGGGAAGTAGAGGTTGCAGTGAGCTGAGACCTTGCCATTGCACTGCAGCCTGGGCGACAGAGTGAGACTCTATCTCAAAAACAAAAACAAACAACAACAAAAAGAATTGTTTAGCACAGAGTCTGCCACATTGAAAGATGCCTGATAAATGTCAGCTTATCTTTGTTACAGAAGAAGAAATTGGGTTCAGAGAGACTCAGTGGCTCAGCCTCTGGTCAGACGGTTAATTAGCTGCAAAGCCAGAACCCAGGTTCTGGGCTCTTTCTGTGAGGGGCTCCTGCCAGTTTGTATCATGGCTAAAAGGCTTGGATAAGAAACGGGCCAGCATAGGAAGCTATGACATCGCGGGTGTGATTACGGTAAGGAAAGACAGAGGTATTTACTGGGGAGGAAATGTGGCTTCTGCTCCTGCGGTCACACTGCAGAGTGAATGACACCTCTTAGCTATCTCAAAAGAATGGATTGAAACAGAGCTGC